AGGAAGGGAGAGGGATAGAGGAATAGAAACACCGATGAGAGAGAAACATCATCGATCAGCTGCCTCCTGCACGCCCCCCACAGTGGATCAAGACCCCAACCTGAACATGTGCCCTGACTGGGAATTGAACCAGTGGCCTCTTGGTTCCTGGGTCGACACTCAGCCACTGTGCCACACTGGCCGGGCTTATGTGATTTTAAATTAATGTAATACTCATCAATCATGGCCAGTTGAATGCAGGAGTTTACTACTGCTCACTCACAAAATGTCACAGTAAAGGGATAAAAATAGTAAAAATAAACTCTCAACACAGCATGAACTGAAGATGGGTACACAGGGACACAGCTTCTTACATGAACTTTCCATTAGCTGACTGTCTTCAAGTTCCTCTTGTATCTTGGCTGACAAGTGTATGGTGGCATGAAGTTTGGAGCCTCTCCAGAGTTCTGTGGCATGAACTGGCTTGTTTTTGTTGGCATTTCCTCACTGCAGGCCTATGCTTTGGCCTTGTTTATTCCATCAACTTTCCAGCTTTCAAAAGAATTGTCACTTCTCATTTGTTTCATCTCCTCTCTTTTTCTCTTTGCCTTATGGGCTTATGCTTTTTGCTTCTTTTCTGACATTTTAGTTAGATTTCAGGATGAATGGTAATAAAAACATGGGTTCAATTTGCCAAGTTTAACTGAAAGTCTTCTTTTTCGTCCTCTTTTTGTTTCTATGTGTGTCTGGTCTACCCAACTAGATTGCAAATGTATACCGAGAAAATCACTGTTGAAGTGTTATTTCTACATTGGTATAGCACCCTTTTACTAGTAAACAGGAGTTATACTAAAGTTTGTGGCTATTACTGAATACCTTGACTAGCACACACAGAAACTCTTGGGGGTACACAAGACTTTTCAAGAACATTGGCAATCTCCAGGTCCTCAGCTTCTATCAATACCCTCTTCTTAAATTCAACTGAGAACGTCTGCAACACACACTGGCTTTCCTTTCTCTCTTGTTCTTTCATAAGGCCTTTCTCAATCTTTACTATGTACACATATACATACACATCTAGTCCTTCTATAGTACAATTTTTCCAGGGTGAAAAAATCTGCAGGGCAGCATACAAAAATACAATTTGAGATACTGGTTTGGGTCAACTTTTTTCAATTAAGGTAACATAATCCAAGGTCTGGCTTCTCTCTCTCTCTCTCTCTCTCTCTCTCTCTATATATATATATATATATATGTAATCAGAAAATGGATAATGGATATTTGTCCTATGTCTGATTTTACATATATTGTAGAGTGAGGGAAGGAGGCAGTAATGACAATTTTTAATTGAAGACTTTCCCTCTTCCATCATTTGTCAAAGAAAGCATTGCTCCTGAGGAAGAGTCCAGTGATATGAAAGCAAACATGAGAAATGCTGAAGGGATGACACCTGATTTCTTACAGCTAATGGTAAAACTCTACATCTTATTTAATTATCTTAGAACACTATCAGTCAGATGTGTAAAAAACATACTAAGGCCCAGCCAGCATGGCTCAGTGGTTGAGCATTGACCTATGAACTAGGAGGTCACAGTTGGATTCCTGTCAGGACACATACCGTGGGTTGCGGGCTCAATCCCCAGGGGGGGCTTGCAGGAGGCAGCCAATGGATGATTCTTTCTCATCATTGATGTTTTTATCTCTCTCTCCCTCTCCCTTCCTCTCTGAAATCAATTAAAATATATATTTAAAAAAAAACATACTGCCGAAACCGGTTTGGCTCAGTGGATAGAGCGTCGGCCTGCGGACTGAAGGGTCCCAGGTTCGATTCCGGTCAAGGGCATGTACCTGGGTTGCGGGCACATCCCCAGTGGGGGATGTGCAGGAGGCAGCTGGTCGATGTTTCTCTCTCATCGATGTTTCTGACTCTCTATCTCTCTCCCTTCCTCTCTGTAAAAAATCAATAAACTATATTTAAAAAAAAAAACATACTAAGACAGCACTCATATCTTAGATTCTAAATACTATTCTTCAATTTAAAATCAGGACAGGTCCCTTGGAGAAGTGGTTGGTTCAAAAAATGGGGCAGGGAGGCAAGATGAATCTGGGACACCTTGTTATCTCAGAAAGTAAGAAAATGTTTTTTTTGTGTTTGTGTGTTTTTTTTAAAAAAAGGTTGTGCTGAAAGAACAAAGGAGCCAACCTGAAGGAGCTCTACTAGTAGCCAAAGGTGGGACAATTTGAGCAACAAAATGAATAATGGTATTATTGGATTCTAACCCACATAACAAATAAAATCCATGTGTCCATACTGTAAATAATTAAATAAATATGGGGGAGATGAGACAGCTCTTCTGTATAAAATTCCAGTTAGTGTAGAAGGAAATAGAAAATCACCATTGGCAAAACATCACAGTAATAACTGTCATACTCATGGATACAGAGAACATTTTGACAGTTGCTGGAGGGGAGAGCGGTTGGGGGCCTGGAGGTTAAGAAGCACAAATTGGTGGTCACAAAATAGTCATGGGGATAAGTACAGCATAGGGAATATAGTCAATAATATTGTAATTACTATGTATGGTGCCATATGGGTACTAAATTTATCAAGGTGATCACTTCATACGTTATAGAAATGTCTAATCACTGGGTTGTACACCTGAAACTAAAATAATGTATGTCAACTGTAATTGAAAAATAAATTATTTAAAAAATTAACAACCCCACTCCCCCAAATAACTGTCATAGACAACATCCACTAAAACTAAGTGGATGAGTGTGAGGAGAAACAATTTGCGCAATCTCAAAGTATCTCCCCCAAGGTATTTATTAACTAACTTTACAATGGAGAAACCTGACAGAAGCCACCTTAACCAAGTGTTCAAGGTCAACATCACCAATAATATATTGACATTAGGAATCTTGTGATATGATGGACTGAGGACACAACTGCATTTCTGTGATAGTCTTCCAAAAAGCATAACTTCAGTTCAATGAGAAAACAACAGACAAACCCAAATTGAGGAACATTAGACAAAATAACTGATAAATATTCTTCAAAAGTGATAAGGCCTCAAAGACAAAGACTGAGGAACTGCTAGACAGTAGTAGACTTAGAAGTAAGTAAATATATTTTCTGGGTAATATTGTGGAACAGGAAAAGGACATTAGTGGGAAAACTGGTGAAATATGAATAAGGTTTTTGGTTTGTTTTTTTTCCACATTAATTTCTTGGCTATCATTGTATTATGGTTATGTAAATGCTAACAGGGGAAGCTAGATGAAGTATATATGAAAATTGTAATATTTTTACAACTTTTCTACAATTGGCTCAAAATAAAAATTAAAAGAATACATAAAACCATGAGTATGAAGTACACCTTCTGTGCACTTTTTTCCATATCCAGTACTAACCTGTGGCCTAGTGCCATATTTTGATTCCAGGACAGAATTTCAATATTGTACAGTTATACTAACAAAATGTTTGAGGATGAAAACCTATGATCTAATGACTCCTTTTGAAATGGTTGTGGTTGAGACATAATACATTTACTAAAGACTGGCATTAAATAAAACATCAAAAAGATAACAGAAGGCCAAAACCGGTTTGGCTCAGTGGATAGAGCGTCGGCCTGCGGACTGAAAGGTCCCGGGTTCGATTCCGGTCAAGGGCATGTACGTTGGTTGCGGGCACACCCCCAGTGGGGGATGTGCAGGAGGCGGCTGGTCGATGTTTCTCTCTCATCGATGTTTCTAACTCTCTATCCCTCTCCCTTCCTCTCTGTAGAAAATCAATAAAATATATTTAAAAAAAAAAAAAGATAACAGAAGCATAAACTTGTGAGCACAAACTCTGAGTTTTATTTCATTGCAAGTGATGTTACCTATGTACACATTTTTTTCTTTCAAGTTAACTGCTGAAATTGCCCTTAAAGAGACCACACTGTAAAATGTGTTTAATTACTAATTTATTAAATTTTCCTGTCAATTGACACATTCTATATGGAGCCTTTCAAGGAAGTTTTGAGAGTTTATTTACAATCACTGAAAGCAGGTGGTTCTGTAAAACTTACAGGTGATTGTATGCTCCTAAAACTCACAACATACATATTTCAACATTTATACAGAAGCCCATTTTCTTCCAAAGTAATTTTCTTCCACTTTCTCATAAAAATATAAAAAAGACAACATTCATAGTTTTAAAAACCTATATTGAACCCAAATCAAGGTTTCTTTACAAACGTATTTTTCCAAAAAGTTAAAAGACATCACAGAATAATCTGATGTTAAGTACTCTTACCACAGCAGAGTGATTTAAGAAATATTGTGCAGTATTTTTTAACCTTTCATGCTAGATTTCAATTGTGTATGTGCTATATTAACACATCATATTTATGTAGTACATTGTTGTATATGACCAGTTACCACATAAACTGTCCTACTGAAATCATAAAAATGGTAAAAGGCAATCTTTATGAAAGCTTAAAAAATCTCAATAAAAGGCAACCAACATCGCCTTCATTTTCTGTAAAAATTACCTTTTTTCCTCCTACTTTCTTTCCCCCTTTGAATGGTACCTTTTATAGCATATTAACACACAAAGAAATATATTTGTATCATTTTTACTTGTTAGCCTTTTAAATGACTGTTTTCTGATACACTGAATTTACCCAAAGGCACCAAGATTCCTAAGTAGTTTCAACATTTTTGTTCCTTTTTAAGTTTCTCTAGAACAGCCGTGGGCAAACTACGGCCCGCGGGCCGGATCCGGCCAGTTTGAAATGAATAAAACTAAAAAAAAAAAAAAGACCGTACCCTTTTATGTAATGATGTTTACTTTGAATTTATATTAGTTCACACAAACACTCCATCCATGCTTTTGTTCCGGCCCTCCGGTCCAGTTTAAGAACCCATTGTGGCCCTCGAGTCAAAAAGTTTGCCCACCCCTGCTCTAGAATGATGCTCCTCAGATAAGTGTAACGCTAAGAACCAGAAGAAAATAAATGATACAACACAGTAACTTGAAACGTGTACCATCAAAAAGGTAGAAATATATTAATAGGTTCCTTGAACTTTTCATTTAGGACAGAAGGCAAAATAACTTTCTGAACATAAACATAAAAATAGAGCACATTTATCAACAAAGACGCCTAAGCTTATAATAACAATGTATTAAATCTGACGTAAAAACACACAGAAATTCACTGCCAGATATTCTGATGCATTATCCTGAAAATATGTCTCATACATAACACTAACATATAACAAAGTATAGCATTGTTTTCACAGGGAGAAAAGTTTTAGTTTTGTTTTATTCTAAAGATTTTTTTTAGAGAGGAAGGCAGAGGGACAGAGAGAGAAACATTGATGTGAGAGTGAATCATTGACAGGCTGTCTTTGCATGTCCTCCACCAGGGAATGAGCATGCAACCCGGGTATGTGCCCTGACTGGAATCAAAGCAGCAATCTTTTGGTGCATGGGATGACACTCAATCAACTGAGCCATGTGGGCCAGGGCAAAAATAAGTTTTACCACAAAAACAGAATTACTGGATTTCAGCTTTTGATTAAGTGTTAGAGATACACTTTAAATATAAAAAAGAAAAACAAGATTCACTCTTAAAATAAAAAAGTGTGTGTGTGTGTATATATATATATTTCATTAATACTTTTTATGCTCTTACAATGTAAAACATTTAGAAACTTCTGAGCTCTCAAAATTTTGGCCAGTTAATCTATTTGGCTTTAACATATTCTAAATTCCCTTTTGAGAATCAGATTAAAGTTTATGGTCCATCAGTCCAATATAGGTAGAGCGACTCTATTTCTTTTGCTTCTTTTTTGGTGGTTCATCTTCGGAGCTGCTATCCGTGCTGGTGCTGCTACTACTGGAAGAGCTGGAATCTGAGTCTGAATCAGAGGATGAGGAAGAGCTTGTGGAGGAGGCTGAAGATGATGAACTGGAGGAGCTTTCATCAGTATCACTGTCCTCAGAGGAGGATGAGGTAGATGTTTCTTCACTCTCTGATGAAGAATCACTGGCTGAACTGTCACTGCTATTGCTACTGGAGCTGGTTACACTCTTAGACCTATTAGACAATCAGTAGTTATATTCATGGGCAGCCAACATTTAATAAAATGTTAATTTCTGTACATGTATATAACTGAAGCTTTGCTAGCATGTTATTCCTACATTTAATGCTTTTGGGATTACCTATTATAACCATAATGCCTTCCCTCCCTTAGCAAGGTCATTTACTTTAGTAATTTAACTCTCTTGGATGGTATAATATACCTAATATATTATGCGCCACAGCAAATAAATAATAGTAGAATAAAGTTGCAGTATAACAAATGGTTTTATTTAAACCTCATGAAGTAGCAAATGTTTCATAATCTCAATTACTTTAGACCAGGTATAGCTGGACAATAATTTCTTACCCGTTTAATAAAATTTCCTATTCTAAGCTAGGAGAAATTATCTACTATTTCCAGGTAGAAGGACTCTGGAAAGTAAGAGAAAAAGGAGACATAAAGGAAATAAATTCCAGATAGGTAAAGTGAGGAACATATCAGAAAATTGCAAACAAGAAACTTCAGATTCAAATCTTTAACTACTATTTTAAAATCATTCTTCCTATCCCTCCAACTAGTATTACATATTAACTATATAATACTCCTGAAGGCACATACCTTTTTTTCTTCGTCTTTCTTTCTACATTAGTTTCTCCAATGCTGATAAACATGGGAAAAAGAAACTCCTATTAATAGAGTGATTATGCACAGCTCAGACCAACCCTTCTGTTATCTCCAAAACTATTCTATATTGGAGAAACACTTTGTCTTTTATAACATGTATTCAGAGTCCAGTATTACTTGTTATAACCAAATGGAAAGTTTCCTGTTGTAGGCTGTATGTGGTACATAGTCAACATAACCAGCAGTGAAGCAAGACATATTATCTATTAACTTTATCTTAGAAGCCAGGTAAGTTGGTAAAGATGACTGAATGTACCAATTTGATTCTTTTTTTTGTTTTGAACTTAGGTTGATATGGCTAAATCAACTACATCCTGAACAACAATACAAAGTAAATAATAGCACAATTGTAATTTATAATTTGAGTTTCCAGAGTAATATTATAAATGGCCATCCTATATAATAAAAGCCTAATATGCTAAGTGTCCAATCGTCCAGTCAACCAATCAAAATGTAATATGCTAATGATATGCTAAGGCCGCACAACCGCTTGCTATGATGTGCACTGACCAGCAGGGGGAAGACGCTCCGACCAGTAGTCCAACCAGTAGGTTAGCTTGCTGCTGGGGTCCAGCCGATTGGGACTGAGCAAGACGGGCTGGACATGCTCTGGAGCCCTCCCACGGTCTCTCCCCGGCTGGCCAACCTCCTGCATCCCTCCCTGGTCCCGATTGTGCACCAATGGGGTCCCTTGGCCTGCCTGCGTCCTCTGGCAATTCGGGACCCCTCGGGGGATGTCAGAGAGCCGGTTTCGGCCTGATCCCACAGGCCAGGCCGAGGGACCCACTGGTGCACCAATTTGGGCACCGGGCCTCTAGTTTCATATAAAAAGCAACCTTTAATTTAAAATAACCATTTCTTTTTTGTATGTCCCCCAAATGTTCAGTTATTTACTGTGACAATTAATACTTCAAGACTGCGTTCCTTCACATCATTTACCAAGAACAAAGTCTGGTGATTTTTGAATGAAATATACAAATGGCTTGCTGCTATATTTCTGCCAAACAACATGCATACTAAATCAGGTTTTCAAATTCCAGAATTACTTCTATTATTATAGCATTGTCTTGTAAACTTAGTATTTCTATAGTCAGGACTTCTCTGTATTTCCTAGCTCAGGGGTGGGCAACCCCTGGCACGCAGGCCAAACATGGCATGCCAGTAACTTTTGCTGGCACGCGAAACCCTCTCTTATAATCTTCCATTTACAATTTTTTTCTTAATATCGACTTTTTTATTTTTCAGATAAATTCAGTGTAGGTGCATCTTAGATAAATAAATAATTTTACATAACAAGTTATCTTAAAGATCATAGACATGGATTGACGAGTGAGGGGAAGAGCAATTTCAATAGTGTCGAAAACGAACTATTGAGGACTTGGAATGCCATTCCAGAAAATTTTTTCTGTTTAAAAAACTTTGCAACAGCGTTACTCTCCATGCTTTCACCCACATATGCTTGTGAATCTTTGTTCTCAGTGATGAATTTTGTTAAGTCTCATAATAGGAGTAGCCTGACGGATGAAAGTAGTAGCTCGTGCATATCTCTGAAGGTCACAAAATATAAACCTGATGTAAAATCTCTGTCATCAGTGATGCAGCAGCAAAAGTCCCACTGATAATATCAAACGGAGTCATAAAGTTTTCTGTCGGACTATCAGTGTACATGTATACATTAAAAAATAAATGTATTTTTCATCATCATATACTGTGTTTTTGTCGCTTGAATGAATTTTATTATTTCTTCAAGGTTCTTCACATACATACACCTTAAGAGATATCAAGTAGGCGTAACATGTTCTCAAAAAATTAGGGTTGGCACGCAGAAGAATTTTGAGTCAGAGATTTTGCTGGTTTTGGCACGCACTCACAAAAAGATTGCCCACCCCTGTCCTAGGTAATGCTTCTATCCTTATTTCCTGAGTCTTTAAATATAAATATACTAGAGGCCCGATGCACGAAATTCAAGCAAGGGGCTTGGCCCTCACAGCCATGGAGGCTGCCTCAGCCCTCGCAGCCCCGGTTTCGTCTGGAAGGTCATCCGGAAGGACATCCGGAAGGTCATTTAGCTGCCTGGTCTAATTAGCATATTATGCTTTCATTATTATAGATATGTATGTAAAGTTGTTTTACACAATGGAATTACTGAATTGTCATTTTGAGGGTAAATAAGTGGAAGTACATTTATTAAACCACACCACAAGAATCCATGATCACTGAAATTCACACACTTCCATCATTTTATTATTAAACCAAAAATCAGCAGTCTTTATGTAATAGAGCCATATCTAAAATTCATATAGATCTATGTATTTTTAAGATCAAGATACTTGTGTAATCCAACTAGAAAAACAAAAATAAAAGTAGCCCTAGCTGGTTTGGCTCAATGGATAGAGCGTCTGCCTGCGGACTGAAGGGTGCCAGGTTCGATTCTGGCCAAGGGCACATGCCTGGGTTGCGGGCTTGATCCCCAGTAGGGGGCGTGCAGGAGGCAGCCAATCAATGATTCTCTTTCATCATTGATGTTTCTATCTCTCTCTCCCTCTCCCTTCTTCTCTAAAATCAATAAAATATGTATTTTTTTGAAAAAAGTAAAAGTAAATGTTGGGATGAAGTTATTCAAATATTTTATTTTTTAGGACAAAGGTCTCCAAACATATTTTGCTTACATTCCTAATAAAATAATTTTGCAAAATTATGTTTCCTCCTCATAGTTTTTAATTCTAAGTTTCAATATTTGCAAAGGGTGTAATCACTGGCATATTATATATTATTTTAAGAAAATTATTATATGATTTTGATAATTGCAGCCAATGAAAAGTAAATGTCACAATACCTACCACAATTCACTTAAAAAACACATGTACAAGCTTATCTTTAACAGTTGGTACTTTTACATTGTCCTTTTTTTCCTTTTAAACTTGACTATGACAAGGTTCAACCTCAATTCAATTCCTATATTTAATTTGTATGGATTTAACCCTGATAAACCTTGTTAACCTGAATAGGTAGAAAAATGTTTTATTGTAGCAATGTCAGTCAAGCTTTGCACGTCTCCCAAGTTATATTCTACACGTAACAATGATGTATCATTAAAATATACTTATAAATTGAAAATTCAATTAGGTCTTACTTCATTTTTGCTGGGAAAAAAATTTACAGAATAATTTACTCCCAATAATTAGGACCATTCACTTTTTCATTCCAATATCAGCATTTTGAAAGACATTTAGGTTTTTATACATGAGGGCAATACACCAAGGTTAAGATTAGAGAAGGTGAGAGGTATTCTTTTGCAAAATTAAGAAGGGTTGTTGAGGAAGGGGAGTGGAAAAGGAGAACCAGGAGACAAGTTCTCATACAGATTCATTTTGGAAAAAGTATAATGAATGTTGATAATCTAGAAACTGATTACTTATCTACTCCTGTATAACCCTTGAAGAGCCTCATGTCCACAAATTGGAAGGCAGCTTCCTTGAAAGTCCTGATATTTATAACACTATTATAAAGCTAATAGTCCTAAAGACGCTGCTTCTAATTTGTAGGACTAAGTTGGCCTGACCCCTTCCTATTTCAGTTTCTCTAAAGCATGTCTACTTACTTATTTCATAGGAATTTAAAAAGCTTTATTCAAAGGGCATAAAAGAGTAAATAAAATTTTTCTAGTTTCCTTCCTACTCAGGTCTTTTTAGAAAGGAACTACAATTATCGATCATTTATATTTTCAAATAATCCAATTATTCCTTTTTTCCTTTTTTAACATAAATGATAGCATATTATATATACTGCTCTTTACTTAGTCTATATCTTAATATAAGTATCCTGGATACTTATCTTGGATATCTTTTTATAGCAGCTTATATAATCTATCACATAGTATTCTGTTGTCATGTCATAGGTAGAAGCAATAAAGCAAAATGATCATGAGCATGGATTCTAAAAAGACTGGTTGGTTTAACACTTAACTTTCCTACTTACTGACTGTGTGACAGCACTGAGAAAGTTACTGAATCTCTACATGCTTCAGTTTCTTTGTATTTAAAATGGGGATTAATAATAGTAATTACTTACCTTTATGTTATAGATATGATGCTTAAATATGCTAATACTTGTAAAGAGCTTAGTATAGTGCCTGGCACATAATAAGCACTCATTCATATTGTAATCTAAATCTGATTAACAACCATGAGACATTTAGGTCCTTAATAAAGTCTATAAATATAAAAGATTCCTTTGGGAAAAAATATTCCTTTAGATATCACATGTAAACTTACCTTTGTTGTAATAATAATCTGTTTTCTTTTTCTTTTAAAGCTTTCTTTAGTTCTGCTGTTCTTGAAGGCCTATGTAGGTATTTCCTTTTTCCTGTGCATTCGTAAGTCCAATGTCCAAATTCCAAGCATTTCTGACATCTTACATGTTGCTTATTTGCTTCACTACAGAGCAAAAATCAGAATACAGGTCTTAAATTCTGCCCTGAAAAGCATAAACAATATAATGTGTAAAATGGTGTTTATTTTTAAATAAAAACAAACATCATTTTACATTTTAAATTGTTTATGTTAGGTTTAATCACAAGACAGCATAGTAAGTGCTTAAGAGCATGGACCTTGAAGTTAAGACAGAATTTAGCTCAAATCTTCATTCCTCAATTCCACTCCAGCAATGGCAGACTAGGTAACTCAGACAACGCTTAGGCTCAGAACTAGAAAAGACAGTGAAAACATTTAAAACAATCTGCTCGAGGCATGAGAGAACTAACAATAAGGTAAAGAATAACCAAGCCAAAATACAGAAGAAGATAGAAATCCAGAGTGGTCAGCCCTGTAGTTTGTATCTGCAGTTAGGACTCAGAGGGTCTATCCGTTAAGAATAAACCAACCATATAAAGAGTGCAGCCCGGTTTCTAGACATCTAGGAGACTAAGAAAAATCTCAGTTCCTGAAATTAGATTAAGATGCAGCAAGCAAAGAAAAGCAGATGAAAGAATTGGAAAGGAAGAAATCAAATTATCATTCCTCACTGATGATGTATTATGTACATGGCAAATCCAAAAGATCTACAGATAAAATATTTTTAATAGTTTGAATTCATGAGTTTAGCAAGGCTTTGGATTGGGGTCAGCAAACTGTCCGTAAAGGGTCAGACAGTAAATATTTTAGACTTTGCAGATCAAGAGGCAAAAGCGAGGATATTATCCCCGGCTAGCATGGCTCAGTGGGCTGAGCACTGTCCCATGCTCCAAGAGGTTGCTGGCTCAATTCCCAGTCAGGGTATATGCTTGGGTGGCAGGCTCAATCCTCAATAGGAGGCATGCAGGAAGCAGCCGATTGAGGTTTCTCTATCATAGATGTTTCTATCTTCTCTCCCTCTCTAAAAAAAAAAAAAAAATCAATAAAAACATATTTAAGGGGAAAAAGTGAGGATATTATGTAGATACTTATATAACAGAAAAAAATTTTTTTTCTGGAAATATTTTGTTAATAAAAAATATTTCATATAAAAGAGGTTTACTAATGAGAAGAATGGAATTCTTTTTTGGAGGATAATGTTTCACTCAATTGAGATTCAAAGTTAGTATTCCCCACCATCAAATTGATCATATATATTAGTAACATTCTTCATACCCTGGCTATGTAGCTCAGTTGGTTGGAGTGGCATCCTGATACACCAAGGTTGCAAGTCTGATCCCTCATCAGTGCACATACAACCATTAACCAATGAATGCATGAATGAGTAGAACAATAGATCAATGTTTGTTTGTTTCTTTCTTTCTTTCTTTCTTTCTTTCTTTCTTTCTCTCTCTCTCAAATAAATAAATAATTTAAAAAACCACAAACATTCTTAGTTTGCAAGACTACAAGAATAGGCAGCAGGCAGGATTCAGTTTGCCAAAGTGTATTAGATAAGGTCAACACGAAAAAATGAATTGTTCCTATATAATAAAAACAGTTAAAAATTTATTTAAATAGGTTTTTATTGATTTCAGAGAGAGGAAGGGAGAAGGATAGAGATAGAAACATCAATGATGAAAGAGAATCATCAAATGGCTGCTTTCTGCACGCTCCCTACTTGGGATCAAGCCTGCAATCTGGGCATGTGCCCCAACCAGGAATTGAACTGTGACCTTCTGGTTCATGGGTCGACACTCAACCACTGAGCCACACCGGCCAGGCAAAAAATGAAATTTTAAAAGGTGACATTTATAATATCCTGAAAAATACCCAATACCTACAAATAAATAAAAGAAAATATGTGTAAGACTTTTGTGCAGAAAACAAAGATTACGGAGAGGAACTAGAGTCTAGTCACTAGACATTTAGATAAATAGCTAATAGCTAATAGCTAATAGCTAATAGAGGGATATACCATGTTCATAGAATGGAAGACCCAATATTATAACAATGTCCCTTCTCTCCAAATTGACCTATAGATTTAAAGTAATGCCAATTGGTAAAGACCTATAAGAGAAATATCTGAAACTCTGCCAAAATGAGCTGAGACTAGTAAAAAATATCAAGAACATAAAAAATTATTTTATTTTGTGTCTTAGTTATATTTAAATCATAAAGAATATAAAAAGGGATAGGTTCACTATTTGGTGTGCTAGGTAAATAGGCCACCAATATTACATTATGGGCTTAGAGATCAAGCAGGACTATTTTATTTTGCTTCAGTCTGAACTCAGGTATTATTATCCTCCTATATAATAAAAGCCTAATATGCAAATTGTCCCCTCGACCGGGAGTTTGACTGCTTGCTATGACATGCGCTGACCACCAGGGGATGGCACAGAACATGGTGGGCACCGGTGATGTGGCACTGGCAGTGGGCAGCAGTGCGGGCCCTGATGAGAGCGGGACCTTGGCGGGAAGGTGGAGCAGATGAGCAGGTGGTGCCAGGCCAAGGTGGGTGCGAGTGGGGCCAGGCCAAGGTGGGGACCAGTGGCAGCGGTGGGGGGTGGGGTTGCCGCCTGGCTCCCAGGTGCTGAGGGAGAGGGGGGAGGGGCAGGGGCCCGGAGGCCCAGGTACTGCCCAGGGACTAGAGGTCAGGTGGGACCAGCCCTTCCACACCAGACGCTCACGCTTCAATCGCTGGCCAGGCCTAGGGACCGCACCCATGCACAAATTTCGTGCACTGGGCCTCTAGTACACAGAATAAAAAGAGTAAAACTGAAGTCCAAGATATTTGAGGAGTATGTAACAGAGCCCTTATCCATTTTGAATGTGTTTAAGTTATATGACCAGGTGAATGCTCCCTGATATATCAGAGATTTTCCCAGGTGAGACTATTGGACTGCTACTGGTAATCTGAGGAACTCTGGAATATAGAAGTGGTGCTGAAAGACTGGAAGCAGGCAAATTCTGTTTTGATTTTAGAAGTGGAGAGAAGGGTAGATTCCTCAAACTAGATCATTGATTTGTAGAGATCCACTCAATTGTACTCGAAAGATTATGAGGTCTAAGTCAATCAGAGCTTCATAATCCCATAGACTTGGCTCAGGGTTGGGCATGTAACCCAATCTAGACCAATGAGATGCCATCAACTTGAAGCTGAGAGGATATACATGACCCTAGATACTGCAGTCATCTTTATACCAAAGGACTGGACCCAACACCCAAAAGAACAAGCCTGAGAGTGGACCCTGGTGACATCATTTAGTATGCTTTTTAAGTATTATTAGCACTCCATTCTTGATCTCAGAACTGTGTGACTTTAAAGTCCCCTTCCTTCATCAAGCATACTATGTACTCTGACTCTCTCAGTCTTTATCCTTATGCTCAAGGAACTCTTCTTAACTGACAGGACAGACAGAATCTGATGGAGGGGAGAGGAAACTGGACAGGGATCTTAGAATAAAAAATATCAATATTAAAAGAAATACAGCTCTGGTCAGTGTGGCTCAGTTGGTTGGAACCTCATCCCATGCACCAAAAGGTCATGTGTTTCATTCCTGATCATAGCACATACCTAGGTTTTACTAGTAGGTTGGACCAGGGTCTGGGACTTACTGGAGGCAACCAAGCCATGTAATCTCTCTTACATCGATGTTTCTCTCTCTCTCTTCCTCCCTATCTAAAATCAAGAAGAAGAAAAAAAAGAAATATAAACACATACAGTATATGCTAGCAGAATGTAAGCGATATATATATTTTTAAATATATTTTATTGATTTTTTACAGAGAGGAAGGAAGAGGGATAGAGAGTTAGAAACATCGATGAGAGAGAAACATCGATCAGCTGCCTCCTGCACATCTCCCACTGGGGATGTGCCCGCAACCAAGGTACATGCCCTTGACCGGAATCGAACCTGGGACCAGGCCGACGCTCTATCCACTGAGCCAAACCAGACAGGGCAGTGATATATTATTGATGTGAAAATGGTGATGGCATGAAATGCTGCGAATGAAAAAGAGGCAAACGTTTGGGTGAGCAGGTTGGCAGAAGCAAAAAAGGGCTATCTGGGAGATTCCTGCACTGTCTACAAGCAAACCTCTGTGCCACTCTCTCCCCCTCATTTGCCACCATGGCCATCTCTCAGTTCTAAAAAACAAACTTCTTTTCTTATCTCAAAGCAATTATGCTACCGTCTGGATGCTCCTTCCCCAGATCCTCTCACGACTGAATCCTTTCTCACACTTGGAATCTCTGTTCAAGCGTCACCTCTTCACAAGTACCTGTCCTGGGCAACCAACCTACCCCGGCTCTTTCCCTCTCCCACCACCTGTTACTGTCTTCAAAGTTCTAATCACCACCCGTATTCACTTAAAATGTTTAGTTTATCGACCCTTCCCACCACTAGCATGGACGCTCCCTGAAAGCGGAGTTTGTCTTGAACCCCTCTTTTGCTTTCTACCCAAATTCTGACACAGAGCGACAGGTAATGAATAAATTAATACTTGCTGAACAGAATGAATGGCAGAAAGTGAGACAGCCTGGGAGGAAAGCCGGCGTTGCCGTCAGACTGTTCCTGGGGAAGGCGATAGGAAAGGGGCAGGAAAAGCCAGCGAGGCTAGAGGCCGCGTAGAGGAAGCTGAAGGTTTCCGTCGGCGGGAAGGGGGAGGCGGGATCAGGCCTTCAGCGTCCCCCGGCCACGCAAGGGGCAGGCGGCCGGGTGGGCAAAGGGGCACAGCCACTTCGTGCCCAACTCCTGTGCGTCCCCTTCCGGGAAACCAAACTCCAGGCTCTCTTCAGACTAACCCTCCCCCACCCCCGGGTCCCGCCACGGGGACCCTAAGCAGCCGTCTCCTGCGATATCGCTAACCCACGGACAAAAACTTTATGCCCGGCCCGAGCAGCGAGGCGGCTCCGTTTGAGAAAAACATCCACCCTCTGCCGATCCGTCTGAGGACCCGAGACCGGCCGCGCAACCGGACGCCGCTCAACCGCCGGCTGACGCGCTTCTCCCCGCCCCCAGCCCGCCCCGCACCCAACAAGGGCCCTCACTTACGCTTGTCTCCGGGCTATGAGTCGATGCATGGGAGTCGCCATCTTAGCGCGGCTGAGGTATGCCGCGCTGAATTTTGGGAAACTCCTCGGAAGGGGCGGGGCTCCGAACGCAGAGGACGCAGGCGTGGGCGGAGCTAGCCCCGCCTCCGCGGCTTCTGGGCGGGGCGTGGAGCTGGGTCTGAGGGTTGGGCGTCTGGTTCGCCGAGGAGGGGTGAGGCCGGAGGTCTGGTCTGAACGGGGTTTGGAAGGGTCGGTACTTGTCCTGTTGACCCTTGAACGACACGGATTCGAACGGTGCGGGTCCGCTTATACACGGATTTTTTTTTAAATAAATACAGTTGTTCCTGCCTATCCACAGGCTTCGCATCCGCGAATTCAACCCATCTTGGGTAGAGACCATCAATTGAAAGACTGACTTTAGCAAACCACGAAGTGAAAATGTATGTTTATTTCTATTTTTATGTATTTCATAGGGACCAAATGACACTATGTAAGTAAAGCTTCTTTGTCAGTGGGTAAAAGATGCTACAAATAATTATTTTAGGCTATTTTAGCATTTAGTGTCAGATTATAGAAATTTTATTACCTTAAATTAAGGTAATTTAAACATATAACTTTGAAATATATATAAGTTTATGAGTCCCCATTCACTTTTTTAAAAATATATTTTTATTAATTTCAGAGAGGAAGGGAGAGGGAGAGGGAGACAGAAACATCAATGATGAGAGAGAATCTCGGATTGGCTGCCTCCTGCACACCCCA